ACTGAAGTAGAGGTCCCTGAGCTTCCAACAATCCCCCTGCTTTGTTCTGCTAGCCCTGAATGTTGCAAACCAGAACACAAAGCTACCTGCAGCTCGTCTGAAGAAGATGACTGCATCTCTCTGTCCAAGGCCAGCAGCTTTGCAGACATGATGGGCATCCTGAAGGATTTTCACCGGATAAAACAGAGCCAAGACCTGTGAGTATCTGGCAAGAGCTCTAGTGACCTTTTGTGGCTAATAATGAGTAATCGTGTTACTACATTCACAAAAAAAAAAGAGCACAGCTTCCATTTGTTCTGTTAAATCACCTCAACCAACTGTTAAGACTCAACAGCTAAGGGGCTGCAGAGAGCTCAGTGGTTAAGAGCACTGGCTGCTCTTCCAGAAACCCAGGTTCAATTCCCAGCTCCCGCATGGTAACTCACAAGTCTATACCTCCAGCTACAGGGGATCACAGACACATGCACCAATGCACATTAAAGAGAAAAAAAAAAAACAAAAAAAAACTCAGTAGCTTTTTAGTTTGCATACTTGTAGCTACCATGTTTCAACATGCTCTACCCTTCAAAGTTGGGAGATCTTATGACATACTAGTGTCTCAAACTAGTAGACTTTTTGGTGAAAGAATTTCATAAAATAAAAGGTTTTATTTTTCTGTAATTCCTTAAAAGGTTAGCCGGGCGTTGGTGGTGCACACCTTTAATCCCAGCACTCGGGAGGCAGAGGCAGGTGGATCTCTGTAAGTTTGAGGCCAGCCTGGTCTCCAGAGCGAGTGCCAGGATAGGCTCCAAAGCTACACAGAGAAACCCTGTCTCAAAAAACAAACAAAAAGGTTTTATTTTTAAATAAAATAGTTTGGGGCTGGAAAGATGGCTTGGTGGTTAAGAGCACATACTGTTCCTGCAGAGGACCCAAGTCTGATTCCCAAGACCAATAGTACAACCATCTATAACCCAGGTCCAGGGGCTCTCACACCCCTTCTGTGGGCACCTGTACTCATCTAATACTCTGGAATACAAAACCTCTAAGTTCTAGGACTTGAGAACCAAGCATTTTGTTTTGTTTTTGAGACAGGGTTTCTCTGTGTGGCCCTGGCTGTCCTGGAACTCACTCTGTGGATCAGGTTGGCCTTGGGACTCAGAGATCTGACTCCACAAGTGCCGGGACTAAAGGTGTGTGCTACCATATCCAGCTTAAGAACCAAGCTTTTAAGATTCATACTTAGTTCTTAAATCTGGCTGCCCACCAAAACTGCTTAGATTTGGGGTGTTGGTTGGTTTTTTGAAACAAGGTCTAGTAAACTTACCAAAGCAAAATGCCCAGAGAATGGAGCTGTGGTTGACTTGACTTTGCTCAAGCTTAAGGGAATTTGGGAGGCCCTGAGCAGGCCTGCAGTTTGAAGCAAGCTTCTCTCTGAGCCCTTTGAGAAACTTCCTGGCAGCAGACAAGCTCTAGAACTGTCTGAGATAGCCTGTACTTTGCAGTTTCTACAAATGTCCTGAGCCACTCCACAGAGGAGCTTGTTGTTGGAGGTTGGCCTTGATGGCAGGTACCTAGTATAGCTGTACTTGTTGGTGCTGGGCAAGAAACTGCCTAGTCACTCTGATCTTCCTATCTGGCCCATAAGGGCTCTTTGATCTTTGCCTTCCCACCTCACTTTGGTTTTGGTCAGCTTTAAGTCCTAGTCACAGTGTTCTAAAATGTGCCCCTTGTCTATCTCTCTGTAGCCCAAGCTGGTCTTGAACTTAGAATCCTTCTGCCTCTGCTCCCTGAGTGCTGGAAATAAAAAGTATTTGTCACCAGATCACCACCTCTGACCAAATTATACCCAAATTTTTGCTAAATGGACTCCCACATGTGTCCTGGTATCTTTTTCTCTAATAGAAGTAACTGACTAAGACTAGCTCATTAGCCAGGTTAGCTATAGTTCAGAAATGTGATAGACTCCTCCTTGTACTTTGAGATTTAAAGTCAATCTTGGTCTCTGTGTATTGCCTCAAAGTCCAGTAAACACCTCATGAGATGTGTAGACGTTAACAGCTTCAGACAAGTGGTAAATGTGTGCCTACTCAATGTAAATGTTTTGCTATTTTTACCTTATTAAGAAAAAAAAAAAAAAAAAAAGCTTTCTTAAGGGAAGATGTTGGTAGGATATCTTAGCTCCAGAACAATAAGGATCAGAATGGCTGAGCCATTAGTCACTGCAGACCCTCTTGAAATTACACCAGAATTCCAACAAATTGATGGGTCTTATTTTATCCAATTTTATAGCCATATAAGGTATTCGGGGCTGGAGAGATGGTTCAGAGGTTAAGAGCACTGGCTGCTCTTCCAGAGATCCCAGGTTCAATTCCCAGCATCCGTGTGGCAACTCCAGTTCTGGGGATTCAACACCCTCACATAGACAAATGTGCACATAAAATAAAAAGTATTTTTAAAAAGAAAAGAAATCAAGAAACAGGCATTCTAGAAGCTGGAGAGATGGCTCAGCAGTTAAAAGCACTGACTGTTCTTCCAAAGGTCCTGAGTTATTCTCAGCAATCACATGGCAGCTCACAACCATGCATGATGCAGTCTTATGTGCATGTACACAGAGCACTCATACATAAAATACATTTTAAAAAATAGACATTCTAGTTAAGAGATGGGGTCCAGAAACACCTTGTTTTGTTTTGTTTTTTTAAAGAGATTTATTAGGTATACAGCATTCTGCTGGCCAGAAGAGAGCACTAGATCTCATTATAGATGGTTGTGAGCCATCATGTGTTTGCTGGGAACTGAACTCGGGACCTCTGGAGAGCAGCTGCTGTTCTTAACCTCTGAGCCATCTCTTCAGCCCCAAGAAACAGCTTGGTTTTAAAGGCCAAAGGTTGACTGTGACTCTATGTCCTTGTGTGCTGACTCTTCCCATAGGTGTGGGAACATGCACTGACAACTGCTTCACAAAATAGCTGTGAAGATTCAGGAGGTAAAAGTGCATAGAACACAACCCAGAACAGAGCAAGTACATCCTAAATACAAGCTCTTGTTGTGTCTCCAGGAGCAGGAGTTTACTGAAGGAAGAAGACCCTGCTGTGCTTATCTCTGAGGTCCTTAGGAGGAAGTTTGCTCTGAAAGAAGAAGACATCAGTAGAAAAGGAAACTAACAGCACTGACTCTGTGGACTCAGTCTCATGCTCCTGAACTCCTTCAATAGCTGCCTTCCTTGCTGCAGATGTCTCTGCCTCAGTTAGAAGTCTGCAACAGTCTTGCCAACGAGCTAGGGCTTGGGCTGGAAGAGAAGAGCTGGACTGTGTTACTTGCACTTCAACCTTGACAGAAGCTAAGGTCTGTGATTTGAGATGAGGCATTTGTCACAGGTAATTGGGTAGGGTGGAGTGTCTAAGGTGACATTTCTTGTTTTTCCTCGTCTGTGTGAAAACCGGCCCTAAATGAATGACTCCGTTCACTGCATTACTCTCTAATTGGTCTCACTGGACACTTTGTGCACAGCTGTCACTCTGAGCAGCTTCCTTGCAGCACCACAGGCTAAGGGGTGTGGCTGTTCATGTTCATAGGGATGATCTTATGCTGCTCCATCCTAAACCTACACCAATGCCCAGCAGTCACCTTTTCCTCTAGCTATAGCAGTCAGGCCACTGGACCAGCCAATACTTGGCTGCTGCAGGGAGGCCTGGGCTATTTTTTCTTAAACATATTTTATAAAACTACAACCAGATCTATCCTCCAGGGCCTCATCATCATCAACCAGTTCCATTGGTTGAATTTTTTTTCTTCCGTGGATTTAAGTCTAGGAAGAAGTAGGGAGAGAAAAGAACATACCATCCTTCTTCTAGGACAGTAACGATTTCTCTGGGTTGGGCCAAGACTTTATTTACTGCATCATGCATGACTCAGGTGCCCTCGGGGCCCTTTTCTCTATGGTATGAATACTGTGTGTCTGAGTTGAAATACTACCTGACATTAAATGAAGGATTTGGAGAAATGGTGCATTTTCTTTGTCCATCTCTAAGTTTTGACCACAGTAATCTTTGGGGGAGGGTTCCTGTTAAATTATATAAGGTATGTGAGCTTTCTTAAACTCCTGACTTGTTTTCTTGCTCTTAACCCAGTGATTCTCAACTTTCCTAACATACAGTTCCTCATGTTGTGGTGACCCCTCAACCATAAAATTATTCTGTTGCTGTTAAGAATCATAATGTAAATACCTGATATGCAGGACACCTGATATTCTATTCCCAAAGGGTTGTGACCCACATGTTGAGAACCACTGCCTTGGGAAAAATTTTCCTGGGGTTAAAGAAATGGCCTAGAAGTAAAGATCATTGGCTGCTCTTCCAGAGAACCAGTTGGATTCCCAGCACCCACATGGCTGTTCACAATCATTTGTTCGTCTGATCCCAGGTATCTGACAGTCTTCTGGCCTTGTAGGTACCAGGCACAGACATAAACTCAGACAAAACACCTGAGCATCTTATTCTACGGGGTTTTGTCTTCCTTTCCATAGAAAATTTCACAAAACTCCTAAAAGCAATTCTATTTGATAACATAATGTGGTTTGCACATACTATTTAAGCCTCAGATGTCAAATTTGTGAAGAAACTGGTACAGGAACAGTAGTACTCTAGGTAGAACTCAGAACAGTGACACCAGTTACTATTTAAAAAAATTGATGACCCGAGTTTGGAATCCATATAAAGGAGAAATAATTCCTGGAAGCTGTCCTCTGGTGTGGCACATATACTTGCACTCACAACTCATAGTGTTGCCTTTTCTTTTTGAGCAGGATATCTGTTTTTTGAGAGAGGGTTTTTCTGTAGCTTTGAAGTCTGTCCTGGCACTCACTCTATAGACCGGGCTGGTTTCAAACTCACAGAGATCCACCTGTCTCTACCTCCCAAGCGCTGGGATTAAAGGCGTGCGCCACCACTACTGCCCAGCCGTGTATGTCTTAGGGTTTTCTTAATTGTTGTGAAGAGACACAATGAGCACAGCAACTCTTACAATTAAAAACATTTAATTGGGGTGTTTCACTTACAGTTTCAGGGGTTCAGTCCATTATGATCATGGTGGGGAGCATGGCAGCAGGCAGACATGGTGCTGGAGGAGTAGTGTTACATCTTGTGGACAACAGGAAGTCGACTCACAATCACAGAGGAAAGCTTGAGAAAAAGAATCCTCATAGCCCACCCCACAGTAACACACTTCCTAATGGTGCCACTCTCTTTCAAACCAACACAATGTCCTTGTAGCTCAGACTGGTCAAGTACTCACTGTGTAGCTTTGAGTTGGCCTTGAACTCATGGAACTACTGTCTCCTAAGTTGCCATACCCAGTGAAAAGTTGCTTTTTGAATTACCAGTAGAGTCAGCTTTCTAGACATTAACCTGGATTCAGTTTTCCAAAGGGAACTTCCCACTTTCTCATTTGGGAATGGGAAGATAAAGTAAACAACTTTAAATTATTTCGTTTTATGTGTATGGTTATTTTGCCTGTGTCTCACATGTGTGCCTGGTGCCTACAGAAGTCATGTGGATGCTGGGAACTGAACTTGGGTTTTCTACAAGAATGCAAATGCTCTTAACATCTGGGCCATCTCATCTGTCCAGTGCCAGGTAAACAATGTATATGGTAACCATCATTTAAAAAAAAAAAAGGCCCGGTGGTGGTGGAACACACCTTTAATCCCAGCACTTGGGAGGCAGAGAAAGGCGCGTCTCTGTTGAGTTCAAGGCCAGCCTGGTCTACAGAGTTCCAGGACAGGCTCCAAAGCTACAAAAATAAACAAAAAGATCATCTGCCATTTGCCTTCCCCTCAACACACACACCTGGTTGGATAGGCATCTCTTAAAATGCAGTTGGGAATAATGGTCCAGCTAGAGATGAAAAGAGCACATATCTCTAAGAAGTAAAAACACCCAGGCCTATGGAAGGACAGAGTAGCGACTCTGAACTGAGAAATGGTTTGAGTGATTAGTCCTGTCCTGCTGTCTCCGTTCTCATCACATTCACTCATGGAATGTACCAGTCACCGGCCTGAGGGAAAGGCATGCCTACCACACTGCCTGCTTTACTTACATGAGGAGAATGCTCCATAATGACAACTGCTTCATGCCATGTGGCCTCTCACTTAAACCCTCCTCTCTACCCAGCCCAACCCTACTTTCCTCCATCTCTGCCGCTTCAAGAAACACGAGACAAACCTTTAGAACTAGTGTCTGATAACCTGATTACCTTCAGAGTCCTGGGTAAAGAGCAGGTTTGACTGCAGATCTAACAGAGTGGGCCCATCTTGGCACTGAGCTTGAGGGCTGTCAGGAAACTGCCCCAAGCCTTGATTACTAACATTGGTTACATCTTGAAAGGGCATTTTAGTGTTGTGGGCAATGACCTTCTGGCCTTGGGAATCCTCTGTGAAAAGCTGACTCCAAGAGTCCCTGTCATTCCTTTCATTGTCCCAGGAAAACACAGAGAGAGGACAAGGGCTTTTTGTCACCAACATGGGTTTTTTCCTACTCCAGGACTCGAACTTGTAGGTTTGAAGATGCACAGGAGCCTTCCTGTTTTCCTTGGCAGGCCCCTTTCCCTCCAGTTCAGCTTTGTCCAAGGTCTGACAGCATTTACCACTAGATGGTCTGACGTGACTTCCCATGCCTGGACAGTTTGTCTTAGATCCATGAAGCCACTCCCTTTTCCTCCTGGCCTCTCTTTGGTCCAAACAAGAACTTTCCAAGTACTGGGTAAAGGAGGAAGCCAGGGAGGCTTCATTTGATCCAGCGCCCATCAAGATGTCAGGTTGGGGCAAAGACATCGTAGTCAAAGACGGTGTTGTTTCCAAACTGTGGCAGCTAGAAATCTGGGGAGATGGAGGAGAATGTCCAGCTTCCTGGATGTCTGCAGGAGTTGAAGTGGCCAAAGGTGATACCAAGCAATCATCCCCCAATCTCTGGACCAAACAGTCTAGCTGGGTTCCTTTGCATTCTTTGTTGATCTGATTTTCTTTGAAAGTTAAAATGCTCTTTCTGTTATCATTTGCCATTCCTAATGAAATGAGAGATAATTACATTAAAAAAAAAAAAAAAAAAAAAACCTGGAGCAGGATTTTGTTGGGTTTTCTGAAACCAGTATCAGCTACTGTAACTACTAGGTACAGGAATCCTAGACTCTTGAAATACCTTCATGGCTAATAGTATTGTTTTCAATGCCAAATGCTGTAAAACTTCAGTCTATATTCCCCTAACCAAACATGGGTGTGACCAGCCGCTACCTCACATGTCAAGTATGGTTTATAGTCAGTCAGACCATGGCCATCTTCTCCAACTCAGTTTTTGTTACATGATTTTTAACACAGGGCAAACATTTTAATTTTTTTTAATTTACTGTGGTTCTACTGAACAATGGATCCTGCCACTAGCTAACTACATACCCAGATATTATCCATAAAGAAATATTCTCATGACAGGCGCAGTCGGCACACGCCTTTAATCCCAGCACTCAGGAGGCAGGTGGATCTCTGAGTTCAAGGCCAGCCTGGCCTACAAAATGAGTGCCAAGATGGGTTCCAAAGCTACAAAGAGAAACTGTCTCAAAAAAATAAAAAAAAAAAAGGAAATATTCTCAGAAGATATGACCTTTTCTAAGGTCATAAAAGATCATTAACTACCAAACTCTAAATTTTCTGGTAATAATAAAAATGTAATTTTTCTACAATTCAGACATTCCATGGGGAAGTCAATGAAGATATTAGGATGCTAAATCAACCAGTTAGAAACTGAAAACTACCCAGTATCTAGCTAGTCCATTTCATGAAGTGTGGGACCCTGTTCTCCCATAAGGATGAATGAGACAGAACTCCCAGTGCACCTAAATTATATCAAGATACAATTTTTAAAAAGCAGAATGGTAGATTTATTTTTTTCTTCTTTAAAGTTACACTGTAGAAACTGTCCTGTGAGAATCCTCAAATTTTCTTTGAATTCAACATGGAGTATATAAAATATGAAAGATTTTGTAACTAGGGAAAATTGGATTTTTTAAGGCGGTAGGGGAGCCTTTCCTCGTTATATAAAATAAAAGCATAAGTTTTATTTGGAGGCGAAACAGGGCACATTAAGTTTATACAGAACAATCCTGAGCGACACCAAGAATGGGCCCACTCTGCCAGTGCCCAGTCCTCCCCCTCCCCAAAATGGCTCTGTATGTTCCAGCCTGCTCTGCGCTCTCAGGTATGCCCTTCCTCGCTGCTCTATTGGTGAATACAAATATTTAAAATTAGACGGAGCAGAACAGAACCAGCAAAGCGCATGTATAATATTACTCCTTTTCCAAAGCAACAGCTACAGTTCATAAATATTCCAACACGGAGAAATGAACATAGTTGTTCTGCTTCTCGGATAATAAGATTCCCAAGCAGGTCACCATACCTGGTTGCAAGGTAACAAAGGATGCAATACTGGTCTGCCGGGTGCCTCTTCTTTGAGTAAAAGAAATTCCAGGTTTTCTCTCTCGAGGAAGCAATGTCAGCATTTTGGTGCCTGGTTTGACTAAATGTGTCTGAAGGAGAAGAATAATTGAACCTATTACTATTAACACCAGTGACTCTTGGAAACATTAGTTCCAACTCATACCCTATTATCTAGGCTGTTTGTACGGGACATCACTTCCCACTACTTCTTGCCATCTCCAGGAACCCTACTTAGGAATCACATGCTCCAACTAGCCCAGTCTTTCCAGTTTCCAACAGTCAGTAAGGCTGACCAAGGAGTATTTATCAAAGTATCCAAAAATGAGGCACTCTCCTTTAGATTTAGAAATAATTCTGCACTGGCAATTGATACATTTTCAATAGTTTTCAAATATTCTCTTACTGGTTCAGAACATGGCCACAGAAACACATGGGTTGGGTTCAAATCAGTCTAACATCCCTTTATGGTCAAAGTCCTAAAAAACAAACTCAGAAGAAACATAAAGGCAACATATGACAAACCTATAGCCAGCATGTGTTACCTAAGGAAAAACCCAAAAAGCATTCACTAAAATCAGGAAGAAGTCAAAGATGTCTACTCTTTCTACCCTGAACCAGTGCAAGCAATCTCAGCTGGAGAATAAGAGAAGCAAATGGAAAGGGATACAAATAGGAAATCACCAAAACATCCCTGTTTATAAATGATGATATACATAGAGACCCTTCACACTACCAGAAAACCTTAACAACCAATAAACACTTTCAACAAGGTGGCAATAAACATTAGCATATATCTGTAGCCTTCCTATATACCAGTAACAGACATGCCAAGGAAGACATCACAATCAAAATTACTTCATACCTTGGAATAAACTTAACCAAATAAGTGAATAGTCTCTATAATTATAATGGAAACTTGAATAAAACACTCAGAGAAAAGATCTCCCATGCTCATGAACTGGAAGAATTGATGCTATGAAAATGGTTCTCTTACCTTGGTCATTAATACTATCAATTTGATGAGTTAAAATTGCCTAGGAGGCAAGCTTCTGAGGTGGGAAGACTCCCTCTTAAAGTAGTCAGTGCCACGAAGGAAAAGGAGAAAGCTGGCTGAGCCACCAGCAGTCATTCTCTGCTACTAACTGCAGATGCAGTGTGACCAACCACTTCAAACTGCTACCACCAGGATTGGACCACAATCCTGTGGTCCAATATCCCCCTCCAACTGTGAGCCAAAATTAACTCACAGGAAGCTTACCAAAGCAATCTACAGATCCCATGCCATCCCCACCAAAACACCAACATCATTCTTCACAGAATAAGAGAAAACAACCTTAAAATTCATTTAAAAGTATTAAAGACCTTGGCTAGCCAAAGCAATCCTGGTCTAAAAGAATAATGCAAGTCTTGCCACACCGGATTCCAAGTTATGCTTCAGAACTGTAGTAATAAACAGCATAGTACTTGCACAAAAACACACATGCAGATCAACAGACCAGAATAAAAGATCTAACATTAACCCATGCAGCTACAGCCACTAGGTTTGTTTATAAAGATTCCAAAAAAGAAGCTGGAGGGCTGGCTCAGAGGTTAAGAGCACTGGCTGCTCTTCCAGAGGTCCTGAGTTCAATTCCCAGCAACCCCATGGTGGCTCACAACCATCTGTTATGAGATCTGGTGCCCTCTTCTGGTGTGCAGATATACATGGAAGCAGAATGTTGTATACATAATAAAGTCTTAAAAAAAAATGCCAAAAAATACTAACTGGAACCTCTTTAACAGAAAGTGCTGGGGAAAGCTGTAAAACAATGAAACTAGGCTACAAACAGTTCCAAATGATCAGATTTGAATGGAAGAACTAAAACTGCTAAAGGAAAAAGTGGAGAAAATACTTAAAGGTACAGACACACAAGGGACTTTCTCTGAGTATGACTCCAGTTGTTCAGAATATAAAACCGATTAACAAGTAGGATCTAGCTGGGCATTGGTGGCGCATGCCTTTAATCCCAGCACTCAGGAGGCAGAGGCAGGCGGATCTCTGTGAGTTCGAGGCCAGCCTGGTCTCCAGAGCGAGTGCCAGGATAGACTCCAAAGCTACACAGAGAAACCCTGTCCCGAAAAACCAAAAAATAAATAAATTAAATAAATAAAAAAGTAGGATCTTCTGAAATTAAAAAGCTTCTGTATACTAAAGGAACGTTAACTGAATGAAGAGACAGTCTGCAGAAAATTATTTTAAAATGCCACCTATATATGTGATAAAGTATTAATATCTATAAAGTATCAAGAGCTCCAATGACTAAACAAGAAAATAAACCCAATCAAGAAATGTACTAAGGAGGGGCTATAGAGATGGCTTGTTAAGAGCACATACCGCTCTAGCGGAGGACTGGAATTTGGTTTCCAGTATCCCTATCAAGCAGCTCACAACAGCCTGCTACTCCAGCTCCAGGAGATCTGATACACCCTCCTAGCCTCTATGGGTATCTGCACTTATGAGCACATATCCACACACACACTTTTAAGCAGACAGGAGGATCTAAGTGTGAGGCCAGTGTAGACTTACACATCAAGCTCCAGGACAGCCAGAACTACATAGAAAGACCCTGCCTCAAAAATAAATAATAAATTTAAAATGTGTGAAGGAACTGAATGGAGTTCTCAGATGGATATAGAAATATTCAATGTCCTTAGTCGTTAGCAAATTAAAACTACTCTGATGCTGGGTGGTGGCAGCACACACCTTAGATCCCAGCACTCGGGAGGCAGAGGCAAGCGGACCTCTGTGAGTCCAAAGACAATCTGGTCTACAGAATAAGTCCTAGGACAGCCAGGACTATACAGAGAAACCCTGTCTCAAAATAAAATAAAATACAATAAACTATTCTGAGATTCCATCTAACCCTTGTCAGAATGGCTATCAAGGACATAGATAAGGGGCTTAGTTGGGTTTCTGAGTTGCTGCAATGAAACACCATGACCAAGAAAATTAAGTTGGGGAGGAAAGAGTTTATGGCTTACACTTCCACATTGCTGTTTATCACCAAAGGAAGTCAGAACAGGAACTTAAGCACGGCAGGAACCTGGAAGCAGAAGCTGATGCAGAGATCATGGAGGAGTACTGCTTACTGGCTTGCTCAGCCTACTTTTTTTATGAAACCCAGGACCACCAGCCCAGGGATGGCACCACCCACAATGGCTGGGCCCTGCCCCATCAATCAATAATTAAGAAAATGTCTTACAGCCAGATCTTAAGTAGGTATTTTCTTAATTGAGGCTCCTTCCTCTCTGATGACTCTAGCTTGTTAGTACAGGGCTGGAGAAATGGCTCAGCGATTAAGAGCACTGGCTACTACTCTTCCAGAAGACCCAGGTCAAATGCTAACAATGGTCTATAACTCCAGTTTCAGGAGATCTGGTGTCCTCATCTGGCCTCTGAGGGCACTAGGCATGTACTCAGTACATAGTCATACATGGAGGCAAAACACCCATATTCATAAAATAAAATAAAACTTAAGGGGAAAATAATGACAACAAATGTGGGGGGCAAAAAAAGGAACCCTTATTCATTGGTAGTGGGAGTGTAACCTGATGTAGCCACAGTGGAAATTAGTGTGGACCTTTCTCAAAAAAAAAAAAAAAAAAAAAAAAAAAAACCAGGGGG